ATGGGATTGATCTCCCCGACCAAAACGTGTTGGATCCTCAGCACCTTGAGCTTGCAGCGATATCAGGAGCGATTGACCGTGTGGAAGACGAGATCACGACATCGGATCAAACCTCACTGAGTCTCAAGATGTGATTGCATATACCCAGATGTTGTTGCGTTCGTGTGACTCTGAAGTTACTCTCCACCGACAGCTTTACAAAAGACAGCTCAAGATTTCACTTAGAAAATATAAACACTTCATGCGTACCCTTAACCATTACCACAAGGTAATTGCGAATCTCAGGTCAATCCATTCCGAGGAGACGTGAGTGGCTATACCAAACAAAAATATATGAATCTAAGATGATGGTGCTGACTTGTAAATTAACTCACTCTTTCTTTTTGCTGCATCAAACCTAGCAAACGCACCTGCGATGTCGAGGATTCTCAAGCTGCTGGACCTGACACGCCTGAATCAACCTGACTGAATAATATAAGTGAATATGTCAATCTTCAAATTTCAGTATTTTATGCAACCATCTGATTGTATCAGTGAAATATTCAAACTTGTCATATGAATAAGAGACCTGTCATGGTATTGCTCTAACCTGAGTGCTTTGGATGAAAACCTCGTGAGAGGAATTTGAAAAATCCTTGGAAGAAGCTGGTGGGGTTTTGAGTGAAGTTCGGAAAAACAAAATTCAAGAACAACCAGATATTGAGGTTTTTTCAGACTGTGAAAGTTTAAAAAATGTTTCTAAGAAAATCGGTAATTAAGCAAAGGGTTTTCTTTGTTTTTTCGATTTTCATTAAACTTTACCTTCTTTTTCGATTTTGGTTTTCTATAGTGTTAAGCTAAAGTTGGATTTCTGAGGTTACATGAGATTGATCAAGAAGAATCAGCTTGTACATTAGTCTAGATAATCCTTTTCTCGCTCAAATTAAGCTTTGATCAAAAGGATCTTTTATTGATCAGTTTGTTTTATTGTTTTTTGGGAGCAGCACAAGAGAGAGAAAATAAATATCAACGTTTGAAATTCAAACAATTGATGTGGCTGATAGTGCTACATATAACAACATCTTTAAATATTGCTGTCTTACATGTCAATATATTTAAACAAAGCAACATAGCAGCATTGTTTGACTTCTCTACGTTTGAGAGCCTATAGGAGCCCAATGGCTAAGCCTGTAATTTTATTGCTAGTGTAGTTATATATGTATCACTGGACCTAGTACAGGACAACATCAAAATAGTTTTGAACATACATGATACAGATATTCACACATGAGATTAGAAAACCATGGTCCCAATTTCCTATGGTACCTTGGGTTTTCTAATCCCATGGGAAAAGATGACTTTTTTTGTAGTGTCTCTGCGCCAAAAACCTAAACACCTCTGTGAAGTGGACTTATGATGAACCAAAGCTCTTTGGACCTCTCAGATAAGGGAATAGATAATGCAACCACAAACAGATACATGCAGCAGAAGATTGACAACAGCAGCGCACATGAGAATGACTTCTGTGATTGCGCAGAAAATCTTTGTAAGAATTTAACAAAAGGGATGCAAAGTATGCCATCATGTTATATTCAAAGCTCATTAGTACAATTGAGTGAGGTACTGAAATCATTCCATCAAGTATATCCTCCTCCTCCTGATAAGCATATTTTGTTAGCCAGTGGTCATTAGATTGTCTCTTTTACATGATGCTGCAACAGGGTATTCTGCAACAACCAGGACAGACAGGAGTATCATAATGATCTGCATCACTTGAATAGCCATCCCCCTCGTGTGCCAGATGTTGTCTAAAGGAGGAACCCTTGTCTCCATTCCTGATCACTTGATTGTCTGATCCTATCCTCAGGGGTTTGGTCAACTCATATCCACCACAAGTTTGGATGGGTACAGGTTGAACAATCGCTGAGGAGGTGCAGATAAGCACAATGCTTGCAATGAGGAAGACAGTATCCATAGTGTTTGATCTGGATTTTACATTCAAGTTAGTCAAAATATACAAATGTGGAAGAAGATTCCCAAGGAGGCATAGATCAAGCGCTCCAAGGGAAAGCAACATACCAAAAAGAAACTGTGTGTGTCTTACTATTTGGATTGTCTTTGACCAAAGAGCACGCTTGTCTAAATGAATCTAACAGACTAATAAGATAATAGAGATATCCTAATCAGTCATTTTGATTATTTCAGATACGGTAGTGATAAGAATACAGGCAAACCACTGATTTCCAAGGTGCAGGAAGAACCCAATGTATGTGTGGATGAAGAGGAAATTGCATGTAAATTGTCTGGCTTTTATACCCATCAGACACATATAAGCTTGGTTTAGCGGATATCCCAAAACAGCCTTGGTCCTCTGCTATCCATATTATTGCATCATCTATCTCCATGTTATGACCCGGCTTCAGGGGGTGATGGTTCTTGGGGCAAAGGGAGAGAGAGTGATCCACGTATGATAGTTATTGTGGCATAGGGAGCAAAGCATGGATGGCTCGAGAGCTGGTACAAGTGCGGCTCTGAGTCTTGCCTGTCACAGGATCGTGACATCCCTGTAATCCCGTGTCAGAGAGATCATAACACTATCCCCGCTTTTGGCCCGGGCTCCCTGTTCGCGGCCCTGCCTCCTTCCCCGGGGTGGTATTAAAAAACCCGTTGGGAAAAAACCGTACCCCTCACTTACACCTTTCTTCGTCTTCTGTGTTCTTCTGCAGCCTTCGGAAACTGTCGATCAAACTCATCGATCAATTCAATAGCATTTTTAAGGTTAGTTAGTGGCTCCCATGTATCATCTGCCCTTCCAAATCCCTTCCAGCTGATCAAATACTCATCTTTATTTCTCCTTCTTCGTTTGTCTAGTACTTCATGCACCTCCCATTCCTCTTCACCCTCTACTTGAACTGGCTCTGGTTGTTCCTGCACTCGACCTTCAACCGAATCCGGAGTGTGTTTCCTCAAAACCGAAACGTGAAAGACCGGATGAACCCTACCCATCGACGCTGGTAGGGATAAGCGATACGCCAAGGTCGACACTCTCTTCGTGATCGAAAAGGGGCCTAACCATCGATGGTCAAGTTTTGTGCTTGGTCTTGTTGTCGATATGTGACGACTACTCAACCACACTTCATCTCCAATGTTCCATTCTGGCGTGGGTCGTACTCCCTCGTCGAATTGTGCTTTCATGGCGATCTGAGCTCTTTTCAGATTTTCGGTGAGTTCCTCTTGCACCTCTTCTATTACTTTTAGTCTTCTCTCTACTGTTGGAATGCACTGCTCATTAGAATGAATTCGTCCTAACGACAGGTCATACCCTAAATTGGCCTTGAACGGAGACACTCCTGTAGAGGAGTGAGTGCTATTATTGTACGCGAATTCGGCTAGCGGTAAGAGCTCCTCCCAGTCGTCCTGTCTATAACATACAAAATGGCGTAAGTATTGTTCGACAGCTTTGTTGACGATTTCTGTCTGCCCATCTGATCTAGGGTGGAAAGCCGTTGATGGATGCAGCTCAATTCCTAACTGTCTATTCAGCGACTCTGTGATCTTCGAAACGAATACGCTACCTCTATCTGATACGATTGTTTTAGGTGTGCCATGCAGTTTCCATATGTTTTTCAACATCAGTGTTGCCAGATCCTCCGCATTCATTTCGGTGGTGCATGGAACAAAGTGACCCATCTTTGTCAGGCAATCAACTACTGTAAGAATACAGTTCATGCCGTTCGATAGGGGTAGGTCGGGGATTAAGTCGTAACTGATATCGGTCCATGGGCCTGCTGGAATTGGTAGAGGTTCCAGCGTCCCAAATGGGCTTGCTGTCGATGCTTTGGTTCGTACGCAAGATTCGCAACCATCTACATAACAATTGACATACACTTTCGCCGACGGCCAGTTATACTGACGCTGAACTAAACTTAGTGTTTTTGCTCTACCAGGATGTCCAGCCAGCAAGCTATCATGACGACTCCGTAGAATCTCGAGTTTCACTTTTGGATCGTCTGGTACTTCCACAATACCTTTCTTATATAGCACCTGATCCGCTACTACGTAGCCTAACGGAATATGCTTGCTTTGATTCTTAACAGCCATGATTAGGTCTTGGATTCGGGGGTCTTCTTTAGATACTTCTTGTATCCGTTGAAGAATTAAGTCGTCAGTCCACAGTGCTCCATTTGAGGTGGTCGTACGGTCGATAGCATCGATGTGAATATCATCCGGTGAGTTTTCCTGTTTGATGTCCTCTTCAAACCACTCCTCGACCGCTGGGTTCTCTATGCCCTCATCGTTAAACCATGCTTCAATGCAATCGAGTTCTGCTATGAAAGATGAGTCTGATAAGTTTGTGGGCTTCAATATCGATCCAAACAGCCACTTTTCGTTTGTCGAAGTTTCTAGGTCAGGTCTCCGTGAAAGTGCGTCTGGCTTAGTACCCTGCCTCCCGGGTCGAAACCGGATGTGAAAATCAAAACAACCAAGCATCTCCGCCCACCGAGCTTGCCTTCTTGTGAGTTGTTTACTTGTCATGAATGTTTCTAAATTCTTATGATCTGTGTACACCACTACCTCCAGTCTATTCGGGTTTCCCTCCAGGTAATGTCTCCATTCCTTAAATGAGGCAACCACTGCTAACAATTCCTTGTCAAAAATTTCGTAGTTTCTTTCTGCCTGGACTAAGGAACGAGATAAGAAGGCAACTGGATGTAGTACCCCGTCAATGTCCTCTTGCGTCAGCACAGCTCCGAGCGCGTAATCCGAGCAATCGCATTCCAAGACGAATGCCTTATAGGGATCAGCTATCTTCAAGATTGGCGCGGTAGTGAAGGCCTCCTTCAGGGATTCAAAAGCCTTGTCTCGAGCTGGGGTCCACTTGAACCGTACGTTATCTCTGGTTAACTCGTGCAGGGGTCGAGTAATCTTGGAAAAGTTGCTGATGAACCTTCTGTAGAAGTTAGCGAACCCTAGAAATCGTTGAGTTTGGTTTACGGTCTTTGGTGCTGGCCATTCCTTCACAGCGGATACTTTTACTGGATCCATCCGAACTTGGTTCTTTGAGATCAGGAGTCCTAGGTAAGCAATTTCCTCCTGAGAGAACTTGCACTTCTCCGGTTTCAGCCATATCGAGTGTTCAGCTAACGTTTTCAGTACTTCTTCTACAGCTTGTTCGTGATCAACACCCGCTGGCGTATAGATGAGGAGGTCGTCCAGGTAAGCGGCTAGGTCTTTCCCGATCCTATCACGGAATATATCTGATATGAAGAACTGGAAGTATCCCGGCGCTCCTGTCGGCCCGAAAGGCATCACGAGTGGCTCGAACTGTCCTCTCTTACAGATAAACGCTAACTTTGGTTCATCTCCTTCATGCACTCGTAGGTTATTATACCCATTCCTCATATCGAGGGATGTGTACCTCTCGGCGTTGCGCAAACTGTCAACGAGTTCCATGGTCAATGGTAATGGATAACGATTTTTCACGGTCAGAGCGTTTAGTCTTCGGTAGTCGAAGCACGGCCGAAGATTTCCATCCTTCTTGCCGGTGAAGAGGACCGGGGCTGCCCAAGGGGATTTGGTACGTCATATGGTTCCTTTCTCCAGACCTTCATCAATCATCTTGTCTAATGCGACTTCCTCCGCAGGTGACAATGGTATGATCTTCCCTGCTTGCGGCGTAGCTCCTGGTACTAGGTCGACACGAAAATCGTAACGTTGGTGTGGTGGGAGGGTCATGGCCTTGCTCTTCCTGAACATGTTGATGTAACGATGGTATCTCGTAGGGACTAGCTCCTCTGCTGTTTTTTAGACATTACCCTTACTAGCGTCCGCTGCCAGTTTAGCTGATATGTTCCAAGATGCTGTTGCTGTACAGATTTCGGGGTTCCTATTATTCCAGGGGCGTAAAAGCTTGTTATCTGCTTCAAGAATAACGGAAGGAACAGGATCATGCTCACATTGCGGGGGCTGTATCCCACTGATATGGTCCTCAGTGAGAGCCCCCTCGTCACGGTTCCTAGTGTTCCCCTTACGTGGCTCAGGCCCTTCTGGGGTGGTTTTCGGTCCGGACGACGCTGTCGAGGCAGCGGCAATTAGATTGGCTGATGCATTTGGTACGCTAGGTACTTTGCAGGTCGGTGTCTGTGCATAGCTATTCCAGGGGCGTATAGGGTTGTCATCTGCGTTAACGGTAAGTGAAGATACGGGATCATGCTCACATTGCGGGGGCTTGATCTCACTGATATGGTCCTCAGTGAGAGCCCCCTCGCCTCGTTTCCTAATGTTCCCCATAGGTGCCTCAGGACAGTCCGGGGTGTTTTTCGGTACGGGCGACGCTGGCTCATCAGCGGCAATAGTTGGTCTTTCATTCATTACAGGCGGTTGTAGTTCCTCAAGTTCATTCGGTGGGTCTTCTTTCCTTGCTTTGTCAGTTAGTGTGGGTGACTGTGATTCATGGGCTGCGGTAAGTTCTTCTTCGTTTGGTCTTGCGGTTTCATCCTTATTCGTCGGGTTGTCTTCTAGGTTCCTAATCTGCTCAAAGTTGTTCCGAAAATGATACAGCTTGTCATCTGTGATAGGAATGGTGGACGGGGTCAGATCAAACTCACATCGCGGGGGCTTTATCCCACTGTTTGGTTCTACAGTGAGAGCCCCCTCGCCTATATTCCTAGCTTTCCCCGTATTGGATTCAGTGCCATCTGGGGTGGTTGCCGGTATAGGCGATGCGATGGCTGCGGTATGGGCCGATGGTGTCTTGTGTTCGGTCTTCGGTCTGATCTCGCCCGTCTTCCAGTTGATGCGATGGCCGTTCTCTCGGAGCCATGGCATCCCAAGGATCACGTCGTAAGTGTCTTTGATCTTGGTGACGAGAAATCTGGTGGGGTTTTGCTCATTATTGACAAATAGTTTGGCGTCGTGGGCAACACTCCTAGGTTGTCCATCGAAGCCGTAGACGTCGCCGGCTGCAGCCAATTT